AACAAGTACCGTGAGGGAAAGATGAAAAGAACTTTGAAAATAGAGTTAAAGAGTACCTAAAACTGCTGATGTATTAGTCTTATGCAATTGTTCTTTTACAAATATACCCTACAGCATAGTACGGTTTTTATCTTGTTTGTCTATTATTTGAAGTTCTCGCAAGAATGTCACTATTAGTTTCAAATTGCAGCAGCAAAGACTTAACTCGGCGCGCACACGGTTCGCAGACCTAAGTCGTCAAGATGGTCCAAACAGTGCACACAGTGCATAAAGTCAACTTTACGTATATTGTACTTATTCATGTAAACGCGGTAAAGGGCGATCCGCTTAGCAGGAGCACCACTAGGACACTATAAAATAAGGATTAAGTGTAGGCTGGAGCCTGCGGAGAATTTCTTTGTAGGTAAGAACGTGAATTATTAGTGCCCTGAGCCTACAGCGTTTTTCCCTTCGCAAAAGACTATTGTGTAATTACTTTGACTTGAGTAGAAATGTGGGTAACGTACTTCCGTACTTCTGCACCTAGAATGCACACATGCATGTTTTGGGTATGGACTGCAGCTTGCTCCATCTAACGAATTTGATTTAGATTCAGCTCGACCAATCCTCCATCTGGGTTTATAAGATACAACAGGGGGGGTGTCACACGAGATGTGCATGGTGTGACCACACACCCAACCAAGAATCCGGTACGGGGCTAGGTAGCCAGTAGTTATGCATGTATTTAGATTTGACTATATATATTTAGAAAAATCTAAACTTTTAAAATTAGGATAAAAAAATAAATAAAAATTAGTTGAATTTCAAATCGAAGAGTCAATTAGCCTTGGGAAGGCAATAATTACTCTTGGAGTTAGCGGATTGCGTTCCGCTAACTCGTACTTGTTCTATGTATGGAACGAAAGGTCGGTGACCTAAATTACACTCCCTCAAGCGCTTAGCTACGGCAGCCCCGCTGCAATATATATATATCAAAAAGCAAAGTGCGAAAACAAACAACAGCGCTGGATTTTTATGTATCAAAGGAAATTTGTGCGACCCATACAATATACTTTAAGACAACGATGGTTATATGATGCCAGAGATACCGCTTTGTAGATCATCGGAGAAAATAACTTGTCGTATTAAGGCAAATTCTCCATTTTAAAAAACGTTTGTGTTGACCAAGTGGCAAACAAAATTTTTTTTAGCTACGTATTCAAAAAGCACGCGCCAGACGTTCAAATGTTACGATACTTCCGTGGCAATTGTGCGTGTTA